ACCCCCAGCATCACCATATAGGGCTGGGGAAGTTTCTGCACCTGGAACCCTGTAGAGACGCTGCTACTCTGCATAGACAGCACTGAACTAGGTAGACCAATGGTCTGATTCTGTACAAGGCAGCAGCTTCTTATGAGACTTTTAATCTTATTAAAACATGGATTTGAGCCCCTTGTTGGGCAAGAGATTCCTGCTGCACTGACCCTTGTGTCCGCTTCAACAGTTCTATGATTCTATTTTCCTATCTAAATCAGCCTGTTATTCAAAACCATGAGGACTGGAATCTTACTCTTAGGGGAAGGCCCGTAGCTCATTGACAAGACCCCCTGTTTTTCCCAGGTTCAATTCCCTTTGGCATCTCCACATAGGGCTGTGGGACACCGCTGCCTAGAGAGCTGCTGCCAGTCAGTGTTGACAATACTGAGCTACATGGATCAATAGCCTGACTCAATATAAAGCAGAGCTCGCTACGTTTATAAACACTTCCCCTCCCCCTCTCTTTCTCTCTTATTTTCCGTTTAGAAATTAAAAACTGCCAGATCATGGAATAAGTAGGCTCCCTGCACACTGATCTCCCAGCCAGTTTCTTTTGAGTTATGTTCAGCAGGCGGGGGAATGAAGTGGGTTTGGGAACAAAAAAGCAATGGAAAGCTGAGAGGACATGTGGGGGTGGCTTTGTTACCCACAGGGCTTTGCTGCAAATCACCGACAAAGCTGCGTTGAGAGGCAACTTTTCCCAGATTGCTGGAAAAGCTCAGTGCGTGCGCAAGTGCGCACACCCTCCCAGCATGCTCCCCAAAGAACCTGCCATGTGTGCACACACACACTTCTCAAAGGATGCATTGCTTTCCAAAAACCTTATATAGCCTCCTCAAGAGAACATTAATATACTGCGGACCTCAACCCAGGGCTGCTTAAATCTCATGTCAAAGCACCAAATGTGCCCCTCCATGTTTCGCTATCTGGCCCTCAGAACTCTCTGTAGGCCACATCCATCACTGGCCCTGCTTTACGAGTGTTTTTCCTGCCTGGAAAGTGTCACTGAAACTAGTGTAGAAACTAGTCGACAGCACAAAAGTATGGCCCACTTTTGTCTCTGGCCCTGCAGGCCAGTTGGCATGTGGCTTTCAGAAGGTTTCCCAGAAGCCTAAGAATCTTGCCCATTGAACTGTCTGCCGTGTTATCCATGCCGGTTAATCTTAATTTATGCTTAATCTTCCCGGTAAATCTGCATGTATGAAATCCCACAGGCACAAGGCAAGACAGAGAGATACAGGTCAGTCGGGTGTTGCCAGCAGCAAGACTGCAGCATGTGGAACGGCCCAAGAGAAAGGGGCTAAATCAGCCAGAGAACGGCCTTTTCTCTCAGGGATTTCAGGGTTGCCTACAGTTCTTAAGAGGGGCAGGCTCACTTTGCAGGCAGAAGATTCCCAGTTCAATCTGGGGCTGAGAGAGACAGACGTCCCGCTCTCAGTGAGTCACTGCCAGCCACTGTAAAAATGCTGAGCTTAAGGGACCAACAGCCTGACTTCAGTATAAATAAGGCAGATTGATATTTAAATCCGCCCTTCGTTAGAAACTCAAGCACTGGAATCTTGCTTTCTGTTTGGTGGAAGCTCAGAGGTAGAGTGGGACGCGGGTGGCGCTGTGGTCTAAACCACAGAGCCCAGGGCTTGCCAATCAGAAGGTTGGCGGTTCGAATCCCCGCGACGGGGTGAGCTCCCATTGCTCGGTCCCTGCTCCTGCCAACCTAGCAGCTTGAAAGCACATCAAAGTGCTAGTAGATAAACAGGTACCGCTCTGGTGGGAAGGTAAATGGCGTTTCCGTGCGCTGCTCTGGTTCGCCAGAAGTGGCTTAGTCATGCTGGCCACATGACCCGGACGCCGGCTCCCTCGGCCAAGAAAGCGAGATGAGCGCCGCAACCCCAGAGTCGGTCACGACTGGACCTCATGGTCAGGGGTCCCTTTACCTTTACCGAGGTAGAGCAGCTGCTTACTAAGCTCAAAGTACAAAACACCTGCAGTCCAAAATTAAAATCCCCAGCATCTACAGGTAAACTCTGGGGTGTCACTGCCAGTCAGTGCAGTGAACACTGAGAAAGACAGACCAGTCCGTTTCCTATGTATGCATATGGGTGTCATGACATGCTGGAAACTGATTAAAACCGTGGATGGAGAGAGCTGGAGTCACCCTCCTTACCTGGGTGTTCACAGCATTATCCCACACCCACTAAGTCAATTATTTAGTGGCCTTGCCATGTAACAACACTTGTGAAATATGCAGCTTAAATTTTTTTGAAAATATAGCTGAGGAAGACCAAAGCTCTGTGGTAAGAGCACCAGGTTTTGCGTGTGAAAGGCTCAATCCCTGGCATCTCCAGGTAGGAAATGTCCCTTGCTTGAAACCCTGGAGAGCTGCTGCCATTCAGTGCGGGCAATACTGAACTAGATGGACCAAGGGCCTGACTCAGGACATGGCAGCTTCCTATGTTCCCCCTTGGACAGCAGTTTCCAGGTTCAACAGCACCTTGGGTAGACCATTTCTAGCACGCTCATCCCCCTGAAATGTTTGGAAATCATAGAATTGTAGAGTCGGAAGGGACTAGTGTCATCTAGTCTAACCCCCTGCAATGCTGGAATACACGGGAATCGAACCCACAACCTTGGTATTATCAGCACCATGTTCTAACCAAGGGAACTAACTCACAGGAGTATCTAGTCTTAAAACATTGCAACCACCTTTAGCTGGGGCTGATGGAAGTTGTATAGTTGGAACATCTGGCAGTCGCAGGTTGCTAGAGGCTGCATTACACCCTCCACAGCTGGATCCCTTAGCCTAAGGCTCTACAGCTCTGATCTCCAAACTGTTTGTTGTTGTTTTTTAAGCCCTAAAAGACTTACAAGCAAATTTGGAGAAGGGTATCTATGTGGACTTTCCCACAGCTGTGCAGTTCCCCAATGAATTTCCTGTGTATCTAACCCCCATTCCCGCCATTAGGCCTTTCTGTATTAGTTTGTGGTCTACACTGTCTTGGTCATGTCGACAGAATGAAAGATGGCAGGATCTCCTACGGGGAGCTGGCTTCAGGCACCAGGCCCGTTGGCTGACCAGCTCTGAATTACAAAGATGTCTGCAAATGTGGCATGAAGGCTGGCAACATCAATCCCGCCATGTGGGAATCCCTTGCAGACGACTGCAGTGCTGGAGACATACGGCCAAGCCATACATCCACAGCAGTGACCAGAGGAGGAATGACTGCTGGGAGGAGAGCAGAAGAGAAGAAACGCCCTGGGGCATCTGCAGCAGCACAACCGCATGTCTTCGTCTGCCCCAGCTGCAACAAAACATGTCTCTCCCCCTCAGTCTCTACAGCCACAGCAGGCGCTGTAACTCTCCAATGGTTTGACTCCATCTCTGAAGGCACACTCCTCCATTGTCCCCCAAGACAGATGGATGCCAACCTTCCTCTTCTAGACTACTCCTTTCTCAACAACTGGCAGCTCAGAGCTTGAATGTATGGCCTGCACTTAAATTTAAACTGAATTATAAAAATCGCAGCAACAACAAAAGATACAGAACTGACTCCACTGAAAAGTATTTGTGTTTGGAGGAGCAAATGACAGTTGTGACCAAGACAAGGGCCACAATGGGTAACCTTTGATGGGGGGGGGTTCCCAAGCCAGAGACAAAAGTAAGCAGACCAACAAATGGTAAATTTTACCTTTCTACAATAGGCTGGTTTTTAACACACACTCCTTTCTGTCCTTCATTCAGACAGGCAAGAGTCATTATCAAAGTTCATTCAAACCAGAAAAAGCAGTCAATCAAGGCCCACGAGGGGTGTGGCCTGGGGAGAGGCCTGAGGGCCGGACACAGAAGTTTACAGGGCCACATTAAACTCCTGGCTTAAGGGGTTAGAGATCTTCACATTCTGCTTTCACACAATAGGTCATTATGTCACAGTCACAGAATGAGGATCACAGACTCCAGGGTGAAATCCAGGTCCCTAATTGATCTGGCTGAGCTAATCCAGTACTCTATCCCCCCAAGGAGTACACTGGTTAAATGTGAAGCCCCTACCTGCATGGCCAAAGGTCAGCCATGCTGGGAGCTGTAGTTCAACAACACCCTGCCTAGAAGCTACACTCTTTCCCTGGAAGGCCACCAGCTTCATCTTTCCAGAAGTATTTGGGGATGACCATACTCACTATTTTGCGAGGAGGTGGTGGGCCCTACAAAACTCAAAAACGAATGCCCTCCTGGGGTTCGACTGCGATGTCTCCAGGGCGCTCTGCACGTCCCCAGAGGCGCTCTTGCTCTTTCATTTCATAATCTCGAGCGCTTTCCAAATCTGCACGAACGACTACATGGTTGCAACAACCTCGCAAGGGAGGCAAGCCCGAGGGGGGGAGGGGAATCACCCCAATATATATTGTGGGTCAAAACCTTGATGCTGCCCGAGGTCTCCCCGGGAGTTGCGGCAAGATCCGAGGCGAGCTAATCCCCGGCAGAGAAAGGGAGCTGGCTAAAACGGAACAAAGCCCCGATTGTCGGGCGCTCTCGGAGGCAACCCTGGGACACTCGGACGTGTTACACACACGCATTCTCACATCCACACGTTAGCCCCTTGGCACAGGCGGTGACGATGCCCCGCCGCGCCCACCCGCCACGCCCAGCTCCCTGGCACATTCTTTCCGCCAGCGCTTGCACGCTCACCCCGGTGCCGTTGTCACAAACCACCACGCGGCGGCCCTGGCTGTCCATGGCGGCGGCGGCGGCGGCGAGTCGATGCCGCCTGCGGGTCGCGGGTTCGAGGCCGGCAGCGCCTTGTCAAGTCGCAGCAGCCGCCGCCCTCTCCGGCTTCGCCCAGCAGCAGGAAGCGCCGCCGCCCGGGTTCGGGGCAGGGCCAGCGCACGGAGCAGGCGCCGGAGCAGGGAGGGAGCCAAGCCCCGTCCGTGATGCAACATCCTGGGCTGGGAGAGAAAGGCAGCCAGGGAGGGAGGGACCGGGAAGGGCCGGTGAGAAGGGTGGAGAACCGGGCAGGAACCGGGGGCTTGCAGCCGCCCCGAGCAGGTAGATGCGTCGGAGATCGCGAGGCTTTTTGCGCATTTGCTCTTTCCCACTCTACACCTAGGAAAGACTCCCCGGAAGCCGGCTTGTACCATTGGGCCATCTCACTCAGTAATTTTCTGGGTACACGGACCTGTAAAGTAGGTTTGGCTCAAAGGTAGGTAAGGATCTAAGAAGAGCTTGCAAGATAAGGTCCATCATAGGCATGATAGAATCATCATAGAATTGTGCAGGAATCTCAACTAGATCATCCATGGCTGATGGCCATCCAGCCTCTGCCTTAAAACCTCCAGTGAAGAAAAGTCCACCACTTTTGGGGGGAGTCCATTCCACAGCTGAACAGCTCTTCCTGTCAGAAAGTTCTTCCCAATGTTGAGTCGGAATTTCCTTTGTTGTAACTTGAAGCCCATGGTTCAAGTCCTACCCTCCGGAGCAGGAGAAAACAAGCTCGCTGCATCTTCCATCTGACTCTTGACAGACTTGACCATATCTCCTCTCAGTCTCCTCTTTGCCAGGCTAAACATACCAAATTCCCTCGACTGTTCCTCATAAAGCTTGGTTTCTAGAATTTTATCATCTTGGTTGCCCTCCTCTGCACAGGTTTCAGCTTGTCAACATCCTTCTTAAATTGTGGTGCCCAGAACTGGACACAGTATGCCAGGTGTGGTTTGAACCAAGGCAAAATAGAGCGGGACTATGACTTCCCTTTAATCGAGATACAGTGGTACCTCGGGTTACATACTCCGCTAATCCAGAAATCGTGCTTCAGGTTAAGAACTTTGCTTCAGGATGAGAACAGAAATCGTGCTCTGGCGGCACGGTGGCAGCAGGAGGCCCCATTAGCTAAAGTGGTGCTTCAGGTTAAGAACAGTTTCAGGTTAAGTACGGATCTCCGGAACGAATTAAGTACTTAACCTGAGGTACCACTGTATTGTGGGACGCGGGTGACGCTGTGGGTAAAAGCCTCAGCGCCTAGGACTTGCCGATCGAAAGGTCGGCGGTTCGAATCCCCGCGGCAGGGTGCGCTCCCGTCGTTCGGTCCCAGCGCCTGCCAACCTAGCAGTTCGAAAGCACCTCCGGGTGCAAGTAGATAAATAGGGACCGCTTACTAGCGGGAAGGTAAACGGCGTTTCTGTGTGCTGCTCTGGCTCGCCAGAGCAGCGATGTCACGCTGGCCACGTGACCCAGAAGTGTCTCCGGACAGCGCTGGCCCCCGGCCTCTTGAGTGAGATGGGCGCACAACCCTAGAGTCTGTCAAGACTGGCCCGTATGGGCAGGGGTACCTTTACCTTTACCTTTTACCACTGTATTGTACTTCTGTTGATGCAGCCTAGAACAGCATTAGCTATCTATCTATCTATCTATCTATCTATCTATCTATCTATTTATTTGCTGCATCACACTGTTGACTCATGCTAAGCTTGCGGTCTACTAAGACCCCTGGATCCTTTTCACATGTGCTACTGACAATCCAGGTGTTTCCCATCTTATATTTGTGCAGCTGGTTATTCCTTACCTTTGTCCCTATTGAATTTCATTTTGTTAGCTCATGCCCAGTTCTCCAATCTGTTAAGGTCATGAGCGTAGCCAGGGAGGTGGGGGGCAGCTGCCCCCCCATCAAGTAAATAAATAAAAATACTTAACTAACTGGTCAGTTGCGTTGCAGATAAGTTGGTTCTCCCTCCCCAAGCCTGCCCCCCCAAATCCTGGCTATACACATGGTTAAGCTCATCTCGAATCCCAATATAGACAGAGTCCACAGAGACTTACTGTATACCCAAAGAGGCGAGAAACCAAGAGATACTACAAGATTTCATAGATAAGCAGTGAGAGACTAAACCAGGGGTCTGCAACCTTTAAGACAAAAAGAGCCACTTGGACCCGTTTCCGAAGGAAAAAAAACTGGGAGCCGCAAAACTCGTCAGTATAAAAATAACTTTTTTGTCACTTAAAAAAATTATTTCTTTGTTTGACCCCTCAGAATTACTCATCCTCATAGAAATAATCGTTAAATTAACAAGTTACCTTTTTTTGTGTGTGTGTTCTTCACTCCCCTTCAAAACAGTGACCAGCGTACATGCCCCTTACAATGTAGTGGGCGGGCGGGAAGGTGACGTCGGGACGGTGCGTGACTAACGCATGCACCGCCCCCATGCGACGTCACAGCCAGTACAGCGCCCGCCACAGTGGGGAGTGTCGGGGCGCACAATGCGCCTCCTCCCCTCGCTAGTATCCGCCCTGGAGCCGCGGCAAAGGTGTAAAAGAGCCACATGCGGCTCCGGAGCCGCGGGTTGCAGACCCCTGGACTAAACCATACAGAAGATCAGAACAGCTCTGCAATTTCTCAATACTTCACTCAGCATACCTAGAAGGAAATTCAAGCCTTTACAAATAGGGCTTTCCATTTAAATTAAGCCTCAGCGCAGAGATGGCATAACACTGTAGAAAATTAAAAACCTACTAACTTTACTAGGACTGCAGTGTGAAGGTGGGACTAATGTGGAGGACTCGGATGATGATTCTGGAGAAGATGGTCATGATTAGCAAGTAAAAAACACCACTACAGCAGAAAAGAGAAAGTTTCCTGAGTCAAATTGACCTGAAGAGTCTACAAAACCTTTATTATGTATGCTTCTATCTTCTAGTCTACATCAAGCTGAATGATGTTCACCATATCCTGAATCAGTTTGCTGCTTGATTAAACACTTGAATTGTGCCTTTTTTCTTCTGTTTGCTCTTAATGGGTGAAATGGGAGCCCCCCCCTTATTCTTGAGGCCTAAGTTGCTGTAAACTGCCCTGTGATCTTCGGGTGAAGGGCAGTACATTTAATAAATAAAAATAATAAATTGAGGTCTGTGGCCATTTCTACCTAGGACTTCTCCCTGGAGATGGATCCTGCAGGTACATGATTTCTGGGTTTACTTCTCAAGCTGTGGGTTAGGGTGGTGGTGGTTGGGGGGGGGGAGGGATGTATTGTTGGGAGAGATGCATAAACTGCTGTGTTATGCAAGCTCATAGTTGTTTTAAGCTTTAGATATAATTTTGGCTAATGTGAATATTTTGTCAATGGGCTGGGTTCCATATCAAAACGAAGAAGTACAAAAATTCCTACATAAAAAAATAATCCTGATATCATTTGCTTACAAGAAACCTACAAAAGTAAAACGAGCGAGTGATTTGTACTGCCCCCTAAAGGTGGGATTTGGTATAATTTGCCTGGATCCTCAAAAGCTAGGGGTGTGGCTTTATGGATTGCCAAGAAAACAGGCATTGTATATAATGATGTTCCAATAGATCAGAAGGGGGTTTTTTTGTGTGTTTTTGAAACAAGAAGAAGAAGAAACTATAGAGAAACAAAAATTATACAATTGGTTCAGTCTATGCCCCTAACTCCACTCAACCGATTTTATCAGCTCTGCTGTTTCAGTTATCAAATTTTAAAGAGGGTCCATTAATTTTAGGGGGAATTTTAACATGACTTAATAATCAATTGGATAGGACATTCATAAACCCTAATAAATTAACACCAGTTTTTCTCAACTAATAAATAAATGAACTTTGATCCTTGGCGAGTCCTTTATACCTAATAAACACAATTACACTTACTTTTCAAAAAGCTTTTTCGCTTATTCCAGAATGGTTCATATTTTGATTTCATTTGAATTTATTCCCTCTGTTAAATTGGCCTTGATTACCAATATTATCATCTCTGACCATAGCCCCATAACTCTTATGTTCTGCTTTGCAAAGCCTGTAAGACTTTACTTGGAAAATAAATCCAAGATTACTCCAGAACCTCAGACTTAACTGTAAATATAGCTCCAGTTATTACCGAATGTCTTCAGAACAATTATAGTGAATTTCATACTCCTGATGTTGTGTGAGACACATCCAAAATTGTGATAGGAGGAAATGGCTAATTGAAATCTCTGAAATCTACCCCCTCCAAAAAGAGAGAGAAATTTTATTAAAATCTATATATTATGTGGGAGCTCAGCACAGAATGACTAGTATTTAACATTTACATAGAACAGGGTTGGACTTTGGTCATCTTTCATAAATAAATAATTTAGCCAGTGCAGTGGGAATTCTAAGCAGAAAAGTAAATGCTCCCACTGAATATGACTGGTGGGTGTGAAAAGGGTGGTTTGGTACTCATGGGTGCAATAAACTAAATTAAGATTACCAGCTGTTAGTAATCCTAGAATGACTGGTTTTACGAATGCAGATTGGGCTGCAATGTACAACTGATTATAAATCCACAGGTGGATATGTATTTATGTTTGGAAACGGTCCCATTTCATGGGGCAGTTATAAACAGAGTTGTATAGCTTTATCTTCCACAGAGTCTGAATACATTGTGGTCACAGAAGTGTGCAGAGAGATGGCCTGGCTCAGACTTTGGGGTGGGAGAAAGGGGCCTGTTAGTCCAATGGAGTTGCCTAAAGCTGTCCCAGAGCGAGAAATTCCAGGCAAGGACAAAGCACATTGAGGTGAAGTATGTGTGTGAGGCCATCCACGAGGGACTTGTGGAACTGTCTTATTGCCATACCAAGGAGATGACTGCGGGCTTCCTGACAAAGCCCCTACCAAAGGAGAGTTTCCAGAACCTTCGTGTCAAGCTGGGACTATGGGTTGTTGAATAAAATTTATGTATATAAATGTATGTTGCTGTTATGTACTGAGTTGAATAGGATCCAAACTGCAGCAGTCTGATTGGTCCTAGAACAATAGGATCCAAACTGCAGCAGTCTGATTGGTCCTAGAACAATAGGATTCAGAATGCAGCAGTCTGATTGGTCCTAGAACAATGCAGCAGTATGATTGGTCAGCAGGAGCCACCCAATCCAGCTCCAGATAGAAGTGAATCCACAACCTGATTGGCCTACAGGAGAAGTCCGGAATTAGCCAATCACGTGCAGCCCATTGTGTAAATAATGTATATAAAGCAGATACTTTGAGGCAGTGGCGTAGCATGGGTTGTCAGCACCCGGGGCAAGGCAAGTAATTTGCGCCCCCTAACCCGTGGATTTGCGCCCCCTAACCTGTGGATTTGCCCTAACCCCAGATGTTGCGCCCGGTGTGGCCGGCCCCCCCTGCACCCCCCACGCTACGCCACTGCTTTGAGGGGACTTCCATTCCTCCTCACCACTATGAGCTGAATAAAGAGCATGAAATCACTTTGCGACTCTGAGTATATTTCAGTTGCATTGCCTGAGAAGGTGTATGTGGGATGTATTACTAGAGCAGTCAAGTATAACATTTTCCTGTTGCCTAGAATGGACACACGGGAATGTGGCTCCAGACAGGGAGGACTTCCTGCCATACCTGCTCTGGAACTTCCTCCCCCTGTGTGTGACCAGGTAGATGGGCGTGACCCTAGCTGACCACATAAAAGGGCTGGCCACGCAACCCCCATTTCTCTCTTGGACTCTTACTCCCTTACTCTTGCATTCTTGCTGGCTTTTAGCCAGCGCATGGCTCAAGCTTCACATAGGATGCAGCCCATAAGCAGAAAGTCTGAAATGTAGCTCAGACTTCTTTTCATTTTAACCGCAAGATAAATCCTGCCTTCAAATTACTGCTGTGAACTGAATGTGAGTAAAACACTATTCTTACTTTTAAAGCAGACTGTGTTGTGCTATTATTATTTTAAGAGGGAAATAAAGGGGAAACTTACCAGGAACAATCCAGACTCGACAAGTCAGACAGGATTCTTTAATTAAAGGATTTTAACAAATCATCAGCTTGCTTCCAATAAGCTGCAAAGGGAATGTGCTCTGCTGTTTACTCACTAGCGTGAGTGAGAAGGGATAATATCAAAACAATGTATCTTCTCCTACCTTCCTTAACATCCCCACAGTATGTGGGCACAGGAATGGCACCTAGACTTTGGTTTAGGATTGGGCATTGAAGGAAAGCGGGGTTCTTGTACCTTTAACAACTGTGCAGCAGGCAGACATTCAACGGGTTAAGCATTTTCTAGTATGGAAGTACAATTACAGGAGAAGCTTCTCCTGGGCTCATCTTGTCTGTCACACATTTCATTCCATGTATAGCTTATTTTTGGGCGGTCCACTCCACCTGCTAAAGAAGGCACAAATCTGCACGTGACGCAAGCCATAATTACAAGGTGTATTGTAGCAGCACACACTCTGTGCGTATACTTTTTAAAGAGATGGAATCTTAACATACTGCTTCTGCTGGCAAATAGAGAGGATCATATGCATATTTAGGGTTGGTTTTAGGCAGAGGATCACACTGATATGTAGTGCCGGGAGGGGGGGACTTCAAATGTACATGTTACCTCTGGATCTTGCAGAGTCTTAAGAAGGACCCGCACAAGGAACAGAGGAAACTGCCTTATACCTAGCCAGACCAAAAGGCCATCTCATGTAGTAATGTTTACACTGACTGGCAGCTACTCTCCAGAGTTTCAGAGAGGAAGCCTCCCCCAGCCCTATCTAAAGATGCCAACGATTGAACCTAGAACCTTCTGCATGGGAAAAAGATGCTCTAACCACTGAGCTATGCCCTTTCCACCCAAGAGAGATAAGACAGCAGCACCTGCCTTCTGCTCTCCCGCTGGATGGATGGATGGATGGATTGGGCCCAGAAACAGAAGAGAGCAGGCAGGAAGCGATGTCTTGGAGGAGGAAGAACAGTGGGCCCACCAAGGGTGCCTTGCCCAAACTGCAGGGGTGGCTGGTGCCCCCTGGGACTGGTAGGGCAGAAGAAAAGGAGCCCAACAGCAGGTGGCGCCAGAGCCAATGGCCACCCAATTCCTGTCTCCTCCCAGTGCCCTTCTCCCACTGAGGCAACACTGAGGCCAAGGGGGAGGGAGCAAATGCCACTCACTGGACTGGCTGTTAGTCAAAAAGACAGGCAGGTGAGGGCTAGCTGAGGGCAGGTTCAACCTTAGCATAGAAATATCCCTCAAAGAAAACCCCTCTAGAACCGTTGCCAGTCAATATAGATTGCACTGAGCTAGATGAACCAATGTCCTGACTCGCTGTCAGGCAGCTTCTTATCTCTGCTCCTGATTTCCTGCTTTAAATAGGACCTGGAAACAGACTGGAAGCCACTGCAGCTACTAATATCCTAGCACATTCCGCCCGTGCCTCTCTTTTGGGGAAAGGGCTGTAGATCAGGGGCAGAACAAGACCCTTGCATGCAGAAGGTCCCGGGTTCCAGTCCTGATATCACCAGGTAGTGGCTGCCTGAACCCCGGAAAGCCACTGCTAGCCCGTGCAGACATTTCTGAGCTAGATGGGCCAGAGGGCCTGACTCAGTTTAAGACACTTTCCTACTTTCCTAAGCTGCTACCAAAGGAAGCAAAACAACAAAATTAGCATTGTTATTAATAAAGTTATACTATATGTTTATTGTTAGCCTGTACTGCATTGCAATCCTTTTAAAGCACAACATTTTCCAGTTTGGGCTCTGCTGTTGGTGCTCTTGCCTTGATTTCCATCGAAAGGAGACTTTCCCTATATTATTATTATTATTATTATTATTATTATTATTATTATTATTATTATTATTATTATTATTATTTCTATGCTGCCCTTCATCCGAGAATCACACAGCGGTTTGCAATCGGAAAACACAAGAATGCATTCCGTAACTATCTGTTGCACTTCCCTCTCCTCTCCCCTTCCCCGAGCGAGGGACCCTCGGCTCTTGCACCCCTCTCGGCAACCCCCCCGCCGCCGCCCCCAACACACCCACGATGGCCCCCTCCCCCCTCCCTCTCTTCTAGCCTCTTTGCACACCTGCAAAGCAATAAACAAACGCTCTCCCCCCCCTCCCGTCCACACACCCGCTTTGCTTTTGTGATGCAGCTGGTGGGCAGGTTGCAGGGAGAGGCGGGGGCGCGAGGCAAGGGCTGCCCCTGGGTGGGGAAAAGGGAGAGACGAGAGGGCTTGGGGAGGAGGATCCCCCTTCTCTGGTCCTTGCAAAGGGTTGCGGGGGGGGGGGGGAGCGGCGTTGTGTGCGTTGCAGACTTGCGGTGTGTGCGGCGGGGTGCCGGGGACGCGAGAGCTGAGCCTGCGATCCCGCCCGGCGCCGGAGCAGCCGCCGCCGCCAAAGCAGAGCCGCCGCCTCCTCCTCCCTCCTCCTCCCTCCTTCTTCTTCTTCCTCCTTCGGCAATGCAG